TTCGGATCCGGATCCGAATATCCGCGGATATCTGTTTTTTTTGCGGATATCCGGAGGTCCCGATTCCGGATCCGGATACTTTGAAATTCCAGGATATCCGGATCCGTTTCACCCCTGTTTCAAGGTAAGCTTAAATGATATCGCTTATTTTCGTGCCTAATCATCTTATTCTCATGTTATGCTTCTAAACAATTTATAGAACACAAAAGAATAACATTTGCAGAACATTACTCGACGATTGTATTCGGTTCTGTAATTATATCTCATGTATATTTAAAAAGGTATCTACGAATTTTGAAAAATATAGCGAAGTTATTTTTTTTTTATCACAGGGTTTTATTTATAGAGTCATTATCTCCTCTCCTCAACCTCTCACACATTACGTGACTGCCACTTTATCGGCCAGAATGCAGCTCACGAGGCTCCCACGACGGAGTTTTCGGGCTAAGAAACTCCGAAACAACGTTCGCATCCAATATCTTCAAGGCTTCTTCGCTCGTCACCGACCTCGGTGTCTTGTACTGACTCACTGAAGAGCCTCGAGACAAGAAGAAATTCATGAGCTCATCGAAAGCGCCACGCCTAACAACCTTAATCTCAAGTGGTCCAATATTCTTATCATTCTTTCGTTGTTTTCTGTACACGGAATCCAGAGATTCTTCAACGGTGAAGCAGCATTCTTCCATGACATTACGGTCCAGCTCGAGTTTTGCGTCCTTGAATTTGCTCCCGAGTTCCCAATAGAGCACGTAGTGTCCTGGAATCGAGGAGGAATCCACGCGGCTAGTGAAATCCATGAGCATTATGTCATGTGGCTCGAGCAAGAGCTTTGCGTTTGTCACTGCCCTGTGGAGGTCTTCTTCGTAAGTCTTGTCTACATCGATGCTTAGAACAACTTTTTGTCTTCCTACGAAATAAAATTGTGGCGCATTGTTGTAGAAACCAGTTACTCGTAAAACATCCCCCAAACGGTACCTATATAACCCTGTAAAATCCCACAGATTTTTTGTGACGCACATATTAAAATAACAATTAAAGTGTTTATTATATGTTCATTCACAAAAGAAATTTAGAATTTTCTTTAAATATTTTTCTATAATGTTAAAACAGTGTTTTAAAAACGACACTTAATTATGTTTTGGAACGGAGAGAGTAAAAACTAAGAAAAATTTACCAGAAAACGTTGTGACAACAAGTTCATAGTCATGACCGATTTTCACATCGACAAGATCGACAACCGTATGGTTCTGTGCGGGATCATTACCAGCTTTTTGATGGTCTTTCTCAACTTCTAAGAACTCGAAGTATCCCATACTTGGAATGATGGCGTACGACACATCACAAGGCTTAGACAGAGGATTGACATTGATACCGATAAAACATTCAGAGCTGCCGTAAGACGATGATATCAAAGGAAGACCTCCACAATAGAAATCAAGCATTGGAATGTACTGTGCCATGGAGCCGGTAACAACAGCTTCAATGCATTTTGCTTTTGGCCATAGTCTCGTCACTATTGCCTCCCATGATGGTTTATTGCATTCTTGCTCGATCAAGCTCGCTAGGTCCGGATTTGGAGCGGTAAGGAACTTACCGATCGCTGAAACACATTGAACATCTGTGATCCATTCGCTGAGACGGCCAGTCCTTATGTTTAAGCATAACTCGTGCCAGTGATCTTCCAAGAACTTGATTACTTTGAGGAAGGAAGAAGCATAGGGTGCACCGAGGCGAGCTACATTTTCGCGTTGTAGAAGCCCACAAAGCAATTGGCAGTACATGCTCTGAGCAGTGTCTTCACAAGTGGAAATCGCATGAGGACTTATCTGTACTCGATCCCTGTAAATCATATAACAAATACAATAAACAAATACTAGCATCACAAAGAACGCAAGTTATAATGTGGGAGCAAAAGTTTTATTGATTTACCAGAGAAAGGAGTTGGTTGGGTTCACGCTTTTCAAAACACAAGTAAACATAAACCTGACCAGTAAACCAGAGGCAGTCTCGCTTTCTCGTGTCACGAAGTAAAACATGAGAGATTTTCCTTCACTAAGCCCTTGGATGTGCCTGTAAAGAATAACAATATACAAGTTTACTTACTCTTTTGTTGGTACCAACAAAACAGACGTAGCTTGGAGTTTGGAACTCTTTACTTGAAGACTAGAGGTGCATAGAGAGATGCAAACAGTATCCTCTGTTCCAATTCCTCTGCTGTCAAAGGAATCAACTTTGGAATTCCTCCTGAAGTACCCGAGCTGCAAAAAAAAAATCGCTTCCTTAACTCTAATTCACATATTATATAATTCAATTTAGTGTACATTAGTGGACTCACGTATTGTATAGTTCAAGATTCGAACACACGTACCTGGCCAAGAGTAGACTGAAGGGTCTATCACAGATGAGATCATAGGACTCTCCATTAGCGATACGATCTATATAAGACCGATAATCTTCGTAGGTCACAATGGGTAGATTCTTCTTGAAGCTTTGCTTATGGAGTCGACCGTTGAGTAAACCTCTAAGGTACTCAGTTTGAGCATTACGTGAAAGTATAGCTTCCAATACAGAATCTTGAATCTGCTTTACGTTGGTGGTCACATCTTCAAGAAGTGAGAAGCAAGCTTTTGGGTTTGTTGGATCGAACCTTGGCAACATGCTTGCTGCTCTTTTTATTTTATTTTTAGTATTGCAACAACAATAACAAAAAAAAAAAAGCAAAACCCTAAAAGCAAAGTCTTATCACTTGTGTACTCTTCTCTCTACAACTGAAAACTAGATATATAGGAGGAAGCCAAACAAAACGTATGGTGTGGCAAAATGTTCATGTGCCGAAAATTCTGGATGAGTTTCAGATTCATAACAAATTCTATGCTTGAGTCAAACTAATCACAATCTTTTAATGTTACCTATTAAACTGATTAGTTGGGAAGCATAGAATTTGTTTTCCTCAAAAACTCTTAAGAAAAGGAAACAAAATGTTTAAATTCGGATAAAGTGTTTAAATTGAACCGCAAACAAGTCGGTTCAATTTGCTGTACCGGTTCGTCTGTTTGACTAACAAAACATTGAACCGATGCAAACAGTAGCATAAAATTAAAACAAGAGATCTGTGAAATTCAATTGACCAATCAAATCAATGGCTCGAAACGACGATTCCCGATCTCGGTCGCCGTCTCGCCGTCGACGATTCTCTCGCTCGCCGGTGACTCACCGTAGCAGCCGTCGTAGCAGGCGCGACCGAAGCCGCTCACCGTATTCATCAAGGTCTGCAACAATAATCTCGATTCTTGTGTTGATCTGCAGGAATTAGGATTTAGGGTTTTACAATGATTTGACCAATTTGTTGTTAGATCGTTCTTCTATGTCGTTGATTCTTATGGTGTGTTCTCTGTAACTTCACTTGGTGTTTGCAAACGAAATTTTGTTTGTGTTTGAAGAAAGCTGCTCTAGTTGAACAAATTTTCATAAGAGCAAATTCTCCATTTTTTTTTTTTTTTATAGGCACAGGAAGAGTAGATCTCCTACACCGAGGCAGCACCAAAGGGATAGAAGAAGTAGTTCATTGTCTCCTTCAGCCGCCGACCATAAAATTGCCATTGAATTGAAGAAAGAACAGGAAGACAAGGCAAGGTAATTGATTACATGATTTGCCTTTCAGATTCTAGTATACTTTCTTAGTTTTGTGTTTCAGGCAAAATAGTTTGCACACTAAACTGCAGGAAGCTAGCCTTGTATGTATGTAACATTGAGTTAAGTTTGTTATTCACAGTAGTATCTCTATGGACTATGTGGAATATTGCAATCTGAAATGAACGAACACATGCAATTCGAAGAGACATATTGTGGGTTCGCGGTTGTGAATTAGAAGTAAACTTTGTGATTACTTGTCAACAGATTTGTCTCCTTGTCTAAATTGAATAGTCTTTTGAGCTGTGAACAGAAATGTTTCTCTTGGCTAGTGTTGTCAGACTGTCTTCTAACTCTGTTTCCTGCTATATTAAGATTGCAGCATGAGGCTGAGCTCAAACGACTAGAAGAAGAGACTGCATGGCGGATCGAGGAAGCAGTGAGGAAAAATGTGGAGGAAAAGATGAAAACCGAAGAAGTTAAAGCAGAAATAGAAAGGCGGACAAAGGAAGCCTACGAAAAGATGTATCTTGACGTGGAAATACAGCTGAAGAAAGAAAAGGAGTCTGCTCTAAACGAGGCAAGAAGAAAGGAAGTAAGTCTAGTTGTTTATTCAATGTTGCTGCTCTATTTATTTGGGTTTCTTGTTTTGGAATACTTGCTGAAAATTAAAAAAAAAAACGGGAAATTAATCGAAGGAACAAGCTCGGAGAGAAAGAGAAGAGCTGGATAAGATGTTAGAAGAAAATAGCAGGAGGGTTGAAGAATCACAGAGGAGAGAAGCACTGGAACTTCAACGTAAAGAAGAGGAAAGGTATAGAGAATTGGAGCTAATCCAGAGACAGAAAGAGGAAGCTGCGAGGAGAAAAAAACTGGAAGAAGAAGAAGAGATTAGAAATTCAAGCAAGTTATCGAATGGAAACAGATCACGATCCAAGTTGCATTTCGGCATGGGTTTATAATTAAGAAACAT